GAAAAAAAAAAAAAAGTGCACCAAAACAGTTCCCAAATTGATCCCGTTCAGCCCGAACAACACACGAGTGGCCTCATTTCAGTCCGGACAGCCCCCGAACAGCCACAGTTCAGCCCACGTTCAGCCCGGACAGCACACGAGAAGTCTCGTTTAAGCCCGACAGCGGTTGAAGCAGCCCCGGTTCAGCCCACTAGCTTCCCGAATAGCTTCGTGGGTATCCCAGGTGATAACTCGAGCTCGGACGTAACAAAAAAAAAAGGGAGAGAAGAAGATTAAACGAATTGGATTGGCTAATACCTTTGGGGAAAATCTGTCAAACACCTTGAGAGCTGCAATATGGGAGAAGGATGTGTATGTTATCTCTAATGTAGCCTACCAATTGTTGTTTTTTTTACAGCAGCAGCACAACAGCAGAAAGACTGCACCGCCCAGTTTACTGATAAATTGTGTGCAAAGAGAAAAAGAGAAGAAAAAAAAAGACAGAAGAAGAATAACCTAAGGGAGAAAGCAGGACCTATTCTCAGGTTTGATTTGTAGAAAGAGTCAGGTTCGGCCTTTCTATAGGCCGAGGTGTGAGACGAAATTAAGAAACTCATCATTCTTTTCCTACTTGGAATCGAGGTAGTCAAAGTGTTAAATTGGAAAGACGATTTGCTGAATCTGTTTATGAATATCGATTCTTTCAACGATTAGAGATTTGCTCGTTTGGAAAGATGGGAGATGTATATTAAGTTACCTTGAGGATTAATACTTTCACTCTGGAGAAATTTCGATAGCCTGATGAAGGAAATAAACGATTTTCTTAGGAGTCGATTGGATCGTTACTTCTCTGGTCGTGCAAGGAAAAGGAATTCTTAATGGGTTTTTTTAGGAGTCCCAAGAAGATTTTGTCCAGCTTCTTTCCGTCAAGAACATATTATTGTGGGCCATGTTTTTTAAGGCTTCCTACAACCTGCTAGTCACTTCATGATGATGATGGGCTAAATTAATCAAAGGCCCAAAGAGGTTTAGGGCCGGATGTGTTTAAAAAGAAAAAAAAAATAATAATATAAATAAATAAAAATGGGAAAATGCAATGGTGAAAGTAATGGGCTGCCAAGTGCTAATTCTTTTCTTCATATGGGAATCTCGACCAAGACAAGTTTATTTTTGCTTATTGTGGCTAAAAGACCAAATTAGGTTGTTGAGACTATTATAAGCGGGCTTTTCAAAAGTAAAAGAAAATTAGCTTTGAGATCCATATGGCCCATGTTTTATGTCTTGATTGAGGTGCTATAAGTCCAAATTCTCATAACAAGTTTCCCAAGCCCAATAAAGATGTCGCGACTCATTCACTCTAAGACACGTCGTCAGTGAACAAGTCTCGAGGGGGCATTTGTAGATGCATAAAAATTGTGGCCAATCAAATGGCGCCACGTGGAAATTAATTTATTAAAAATCAAGTCATATTTTCTATTTATATTTTAGGAATTTCCATAAATTTAATTCCTAAATTTAAATAGTTAATTAATTAATTATTTTAATATTTTAATTCTTGACCAATCAAATAATGTCAAGTGTCAAATCTTAATTCTTGGTAATAAATCATATGGCATCTAGAAGATCTTGGGAGGTCTAAATGGATCTAAAAGATCTTATGTGAATCATCATGGACCAATCAAATCGCGTCCTACGATTCTTAAATTTGGTAGGATTCTCCATCCTACACCTATAAATAGGGGCTCTCCCTAATGTCAAAAAAAACACACATCATATTTCATATTCAAAGTTCAAGAGCTCTAGAGAATTCTCTCGACGAGATTCATATGTTCTTGAAGATTCAAAGGCGTTCTTGAAGATTCGAAGCAAGCTTCAAGCGCATTCAACCTCAAGACTGGCGTACCCGGATCGGTTTGTCGTGACTTTTATCGTTGATAACTTATGTTCGAGGCGTGATCGAGACGAATCAACCAATGAGGCTTCAAGATGAGATCCAGAAACGTGAAAATCTTAGCAGAGTAGAAATTTAGCTCGTTTAGGACTGCCGGCACGATTAGCTACCGGAGATAGAGCTGACGTGACGGCCGACACTGTTAGCCGGAAGAGCTCATGCGAACTGATCACTTTCATTGCTCGGCAATGACCACTGAGTTGAGGATGATTCCTAGCTGAGGATGCCGATATTCGCTTTCTTTAAATGTGATGTCTTTGTTATATCCTAATGTTGGTCGGTTTTGTGAAAACCTTTCCTTCCTGGCTACCTCAGATAGTGTGAGCCTTGAATTAGAGTAATCCTTTTCTGTCCTCGAATCGAGCGCCGACGCTGACTGGGTGTAGTCACGCGAAGTGGTGGTCGAGCACGCGAGCCTGTGCTGAGAGACGTGAGGCACTGCAGGGC